TATTAATTAACATGAAACACCCAGACACACCAAAAAAATAACAATATAATTTATATTTGATTATATTTTGAATACATTGTATCAAGTGAAGACCTACCACATGGGCTGTCATGCAACTAGGAAGCTGAAATTCACCAAGCAACTTCATCTATAGGAGCTTAAAAGACCTTGTAAATTTCAAGCATTTACCTTATTGTAGCGGGACGTTGTTAGTTTTTTTTAATTTGAAGGTCAATTTTTATTTTTTTAGCTGCCTAAAATGTATTGCATACACACCAAATTGTAATCAAAATTCCAACAAGAAAAAAGGCTGATGATTTCCTGTATGTTTCACAAAGATTTGTTCAGTGGTTCAAGTGATAATTTTTAAAAGGTACAAAGATTTATTTGGCTTAAGCTGAACATTTAGGACTGACGTGCACCAAACTTTTACCTGTTCTAGAAGCAAATGATATGATGATTTCCTGAAACCCATGTTGTTCATTTGAACTGAAACTAATTGAGCCCCATAGGCAGAGTCCCATTCACCAGACACTTGCTGATGACCCCCCTCTCCCAGGCCTGGCTCCAGAGTGGGATCCCAGTAATCCACATTCAGCAATCTCCTTGATTTTGTCTGTCCAAACAATTTTTTTTTACCACAGTTGTTGATCATTTGAACAAATAAATTATTTGGATGTTTGCTAAGAAATAAATTAGCATTGGTAGCAATACAATGGCACAACTGGTAAGGCTGCTACCTCTCAGTGAGCAGGTTACCCTAGTTTAAATCCTCATCCAGGGGCCTTTCTGGGTGGAGTTTGCATGTTCACTCCATGCATGTGTGGGTTTTATCTGGGTACTCCGGTTTCTTCCCACAGACTAAAAACACGTATGTTATGCTAAATGGTAACAATTATTATCCCTGTTAGTGAGTGAGTGAATGGTTGTTTGTCTTGTTTGTCTCTATGTGGCCCTATGATGGGCTTGTGACCTGTCCAGGGTGTATCCCGCCTCTTGCACAGAGATTGCTGTTTATAGGCACCAGCAACCCCACGACCCATAATGGAAGACGCGAGTAAAAGATAATGGATGGATAAAATAAATTGTCAGTGGTGTCCTGAAGTAGGTCAGCTATTGTTAGACTGACTGACTGTGGGCTGGAGAGTAAGTCAGAGGCATTGATGCTATGAATATAACAGATGGTCTGTACACAATCAGTGTTGGATTTGGACTTGTGCAATTATTTATAGATTAAAACCCTTGTGAATAAATTTACTAGCTAAATAAAAGAAATAATTAACTTTAAAAATATATACTATGATGAAGTCCAAATGCCAATGGTCAATATATTCATTCAATTGTCTAACTCTGTTCTGCTATTTTTCTCATGAAATAAATTTGACAGCTTAAATTTATCAAAATGTAGTGGGACATAAGTGATAATGTACTGTGCATCACCACTGTCATATTTTTTATTTGTATTTCTTGTTAGTTTCTTTTACTGTGTTGTAGTCCAGGTTCTCAAATGGTAAACCTAATAATGAGGTTACCTTGGTAATTAAGGCACAATTTTGTGAGAAAAGGGACTAGATGAATAAGCAAGATAAGAAACTATCCCATGACATTCCTTTAATTTAGACCATACACAATATTCCACTGGACATATATCTTTTTTGTTTGAATGTAATTTAATTTAATTGGCTTTTTTGTGGTGCTATATAAAATTTTATCAAGGTCAAGTTGTCTTTTTTGTCATTTTTTGTCATTCATTTATGGTTTTGTTATTGTTTTAAACATTTTCTTTTAGATATTTAATACATAGACAACAGCTGATTTTTCATTGTACTCATAAAGAATTAAAGCAACTATAAATCACCTGTAAAATTTGTATTTGGAATAAATTAGTAATTGGATATTCTAATGTTAATGACATGCAGCAAATGCATATTGATCAATTCAAGGAGTTCAGTTAATTTACTTTTTGTAGCATAATTACTTAAATGCACATTGCTATACAGACCATGATAGGTGGAGATATGGAAATAGGAATATATTTTAATAAACTGTAAGCAAACAAGTCCAAAAAGTTAATGTAAATCACTAGAGTATTTAGTATACAATGCTTTTGACATGTTAAAATAGTATTTGAAAATATAGTGCTGCTAATTTGCTGACACTAAGATTATAACTTTCAAAAGACAATATTTTTTTATCAGTTTTTTAGAACAGTTTTCATTTTTGCTTAATCCATGTGCCCATTCATTTGTTTAAATTTTTTACATCAGGCAAAACATGGGCTACTATGTGGTCCTACTTATAGTTTAAGTTTCTATTTTATGATTCTTTATCATCAGGCATTACATAGGCCACCTATGAAGTTTAATGCAGTTCTACACACTCCCACTAGGGACAACATTGAGGTATACACAGATTTTGTGGGGAGGCGAGGGGCGAAACCATACACATACACAAAAAAACCTATTTTAGTGACTTTTTGGGACGTTTGAGATTTTTGGATTAAAATACATTTTGGAGCGTGCTGAATGCGATTATAAGGTTCTCTAATTGGGGACCGTGGTTTTGGTCCCCACTTGCCAAGGTGTCCCCAAATGACTGGTGTGTAAACGTGTTCACGACCCCAAATATAACATAAGCAAACGCACACACACACACACACACACACACACACACACACACACACACACACACACACATATATATA